ATTTATATAATGTAAAAGGGACACAAAAAATTATTTATTTATATACAAGTTTTACGTTCCTATCCGTTCTCTTACGAAATATTATTATTATTATTATTATTATTAATACATTTGAATAATTAATCGATTAATTAATAATTAATTTATTTTTATTAATATTATAATAAATATACATATATTTAAAATTAAATCACAGAATTTAATTGAAATTATTATTGGTTTTTTTTTTTTTAGTTAAAATTCGCCTACCTTCCACGTTCCCCCTACCCCTCTCCCTCCCCTCTCGCTTCCCCGTCCCATCCCACTTTTCCATTATTACACTTGTTTCGTTTTTTTATTAACATTTTTGTGTCAAATTAAATTGAAATTTTTTTCTTTCCACCGATAAAAAAAAAAAAAAAAAACCTGTTTTTATTTAACCTGTAATTAAACGGAAATGGATCATTGATTAATGGTATAGGAAACCTACGAAAAAAAAAAAAAAAAAAAAACGCGCGTTTCCGCCACTTACCTTCACCTCACCCGGATTCACATAAAAAAAAATTTCGGATTATTTTTTTTTTACTTTTTATTTTTCAAAAACGTAAAATTTAATTAACGGGGGTGCATTATATACGACACGATTAAATTAAACATAAAAGATTCAAAATTACCAACCGGTTATTTCACCCCCCCCCCTCACCCCAAAAAACTTTCTTTTTTAAATGTTTAACTTATATCGTTGAATATCATTTTACAAAACGAAAAAAAAAAAAACAAAAAAATTAATAATATTGCTTATTTAAAATTTGTTAATATTACTATTATTATTATTATTATTATTATTATTATTATTATTATTATTATATTACTAAATATTTGCGTAATGTTTTTTTTCTTTACCCTATATTTATATAAATTGTATTATATATATATTATAATAATATTATTAATGCAATATAATTTTTATTATATCCACCGCTTTGTATATATTTATATATAGTATATATAATAAATAAATAAATAAATAACTAAATATTATTATTATTATTATTATTATTATTATTATTTTACACTTAAATTTTAAATAATATAAATAATAATAATAATAAATTAATTGAACACATAAAATTTAAATAATTTCTTTCTTTCATATTCTTTTTTTAATGTACATAATAAATAACAAACAACCTTACGAGGAGATATGAAATTTTACGTTTTCATATAAATTTACTATTATTATTATTATTAATAAATAAACAAACAGACAAACAAATAAATAAATAAATAAATAATAATAATAATTTCGTTTAAATTTTTTAGGCGTTAATTAACTAACAATCTACATAATATAGGAATCGACGAATAATTTTCTTTTTTTCTTTTCTTTTTTCTTTACAATTTTGACGGATTGTTTTTAAACGACAAACAAACAAACAAACAAACAAACGAAAAAAAAATATTTTGAAAAAAAAAAAAATTAAAAAATTTTTTAAATCGTTCGTCATTTTCACGTTCGATGAAAAATCGCTATATCACTTATTAATAATTAATTAATTAATTTATTTATTTATTTATTCGTTATAAATAATTTATAATAATAATAATTATTATTATGTTAATAGTATTTCTTTCCGTAATTATTATTAATATTTACTTAATTATTATTATTATTATTATTATTTTATTCATTTATTTACAATATAAATCACAATTTTTTAATATTTTTTTTTTTATGTATGCTTTTTTTTAGTTATTTATTTATTTATTTACTTATCTATTATTAAATATAATAATCGTTGTAATAAATAATTATTATTATTATCACTTATTATTCATATTAATAATAATAGTATGTGTAAATAATACCGGTTTATTATACTATAATTAGCAATTAACTTATTTTTTTTTTTTTACGTAATATTTTATTTATGTATATGTATATATTTATATATATTTTTATTTATTTTTTATTTTAATTAATTATTTATTTATTCATTCGTTCGTTAATTTATTCATTCATTCATTCATTCACTCACTTATTTATTCGTTATGGCGAATATCGTGCAAATTACAAAAATTTTATTTCTTATTATTATTATTATTATTATTATTAATAAGTTTCAATTTTTTAAAGCATTTATTATTACGTTATTAAAATAATAACGACAAAATAAAAAATAAATATGATGATTATAATGATAATGATAATAATAATAATACAAATAACTGTATCGTTTGTACAAGCACACACACACACATGCACGCGCGCGTACACAATATGAATGCATATATGTATAAATATATTAATATTAATAATAATAATAATAATAATAATAATAATAATAATTAAAGGTAACTTTCGTTTTCGTTGTCGCGCGTTTTATTAAAACGTATATTCTCTCGACATTAAATAATGTTTTTACAATAGTAGTTAATAATAATAATAATAATAATAATAATACTAGTAATAAAAATAATAATAATAATAATTTTTTTCCGTTAATAATAAAGGAACTTTGGAATGTATTTATTTTTTTTCTTCTTCAGAAATTCTAAAAAAAAAAAAAATGAAAACCATTTCGTAAACCGCGGTTTTTAATTTTTTATTTATTTATTACTATTATTATTATCATTATCATTATCATTATTATTATTTTATTTTTTAATGTTAAAGGATGATTTGAACGGCTTTTAAATTATTTTTTTTCATAATAATCTGCTGCTAATAAAATCTAATTAGTGGGTAAAAAAAAAAAAAAAAAAAAAAAA